TGAACTACATTTAATTATACATAGTTTTTAATACAAATTTCACTAACAATTTATTCTATATAGAACTATCTTGTAAGCAAAGTTTTGTGTGTATCTGTGCTTAAAAAATAATACAAGGATAATAACAATCCATTTTTTAAATTTTATCTAAATATTTAGTTAAAATGAGGTTATTGTAGGAAAGCTATTGCTTAATGTTTACATGTGGTAGAGAACTTCTAAGCATTGTCACTCTAATTATGAAAATGTAATTGTAAAAACTGTTTTAGATATTTCAGATTATAAAAACATGTGTGGGCTGAAGAAAGCTTCCATTTTGTTTGGGAAATTATGACATTATTGCTTACACATTTTGAATGTTGATAACATGAACTTTATAAGAAATTTAGGATGAATACAACTCTAGATTTATGAAATTCTATTTTTCTGAATTAATTTGCTATCTTACTATTATATCAAAAATTAGTTTTTAATAAGTTCTGTTGATTACATGAAGCTGTGTATTTTCAAATTTTCCAAACCTCAAGGAATTTATTTTTGGAGGACGGAAATTTACTGTTTCCTTTGTGGAAATATGCCACTTACCATTATGTAGAATAGCAGTTATTAAATCATTGCAGTATCTTTTAAAATGATATGAACAAGAACGTTGTAGTTTCACTGTGTTAACAAGCCTTAGACTTATAATTTAAGGGTATATTAAAAACTTGCTTCTGGGGCTGGGGTTGTGGCTCAGATGTAGAGCACTTGCCTAGTATGCGTGAGGCACTGGGTTTGATCCTCAGCACCACATAAAAATAAAATAAAGATATTGTGTCCACCTGTAACTCAAAAATAAATAAAAGAAAAAACTTGTTTCTGTCTTGTTTAAAATTAGTTTTATACAGAACTTAGAGTATGACATTTCATGAAAGTGTAATTGTGTGCATAGCCCCATTTCTGTTGTTGAATAAAGAAAAACTAAGTATAAAATCAACCAATCAATCGGATAAGAACAAGTTGTTGTCGGGCACAGTGGCTTATGCCTGTAATCCCAATGGCTTGGGAGGCTGAGGCAGGAGGATCACAAGTTCAAAGCCAGCCTCACCAAAAATGAGGTATTAAGCAACTCAGTGAGACCCTGTCTCTAAATAAAATACAAAATAGGACTGGGGATGTGGCTCAGTGATCTAGTGTCCCTGAGTTCAATCCTTGGTACAAAAAAAAAAAAAAAAAAAAAAAAATAGAAAAACAAACAAGATCTTCCTGTCTTTTGGTAAGTAAGAAAAACAGGATGTTCCTGTTTTCGTGGCTTATCTCTGGAGGCAAAAGTTTTAGGATTTCCTGTTAGTCAAGGCCCTTAGCAGGTTCCTATTATTCATGGTTTATCTTGGAATGCAAGATTATTAGAAATGGAAGTCCTTCCGGGTGTGTGGTAAGTGATTTGTGGCTCCTTTTTGCTTGCTGAGCCTGCTTTACTGTAGTTTCCTCTAGCTCAGAACCTCCTCCATTTTCTACTATTCATATCATTAGAGCTTGTTATTTAAGAATAATGAGATTACTTTTGTTACATCATGTTATTAACTCATAGTATAATATAGGCGAACATGTAAAATAAATAATAATTGCAAACATATAAATGATTAAATATGTCTCCTATAAATGTACTTGTGCATTCACACAAACAGAATGGAGACAAGCCAGATGAATATCCTAACATGTACAGGCTATTTCCAAATACAAGAATTCTTAACTAATCCCTGTGAGAAAATACACATGCTCTTTTTACTTAGTTTCTTTTAATATCTCATGTGATATCATACTCCAAATTAAAAACAATAGTGGCCATGCTTGTGGATTCTTTTTTTTTTGAGGGGGAGCGTGTTGGGGCAGGGTACCAGGAATCGAATCACTGAGTCACATCCCCAGTCCTATTTTGTATTTTATTTAGAGACAGGGTCTTACTGAGTTGCTCATTTTCGCTGAGGCTGGCTTTGAACTTGTGATCCTCCTGCCTCAGCTTAACAGTATTAAAATTTTCTATTGGCTTGAAATGCTTGATTAAATTTATTTCTAGGCTATAGACCTGAATCTTACATTTTTAGGAGTTTGGGGCATAAAATGTATGACTTTTACCCTAAGGCTAGCAAGTACAGGAAACCCTTACCTTTCCTGGTTCTGAGAAGGCAAAGAGAGGGAATCTTGAGAGAGCAGTCACAGGTGTAACCACCTAATGGGAGTTGTGGCCTTTGGATTAGTGAAGATACCTACTTAGCCTGTGGCAACTCAACAGAGAATGAGCTGGAAGAATACTCTAACCCTATTCTCTATCCCCCTTTCTATCTCTTGTGATTGCTTCTCATTGCTTCAGCCCCGCTAGAAGTTGAGATTGATGGATCCCAGTTTGTTCAGTCCGGAAAGATCAGCTTCTCAATGTCCAGAGTAGACTGGAGCCAGGGAATGGAAAATATTCAACTCATAACAAATCTCTGACTTTTTTTTCTTTAGTGCTGGGGGTTGAACCCTGGCCCGTGCACATGCTAAGCTTGTGCTCTACCACCAAGCTACACCTCCAGCCCCCAGATCACTGATTTTTTAATAGTAATTAAATATCAGAAACATTTTGAAAATTAGAAAGAATGGCTTACTATAAGCCAAAATAAAATTATTTAAAATTCTTAACAGTGAAATGGTGACAATTTTGGTCTTTCATTAGGATGCTGAGAGCTTAAGCCATCTTTTCTAGTTAGCTTCACTTTTTAGTTCTGGTTTTTTAAAGTTATATAACCTCCACTCATAGTTATTGGTAATTTGCAATGGAATCAAATGCCCAATATTTCTTTCACATAGTCAGACTCTAAAACTCCATTAATTACATTCATTTGAACAAATGAATGTAATTAATGTGCCTACTATGTGCCAGACAGGATCTATGAAGAAACAAATATGTTCTCTGGAAACTTATATTCTAGTGTGTGAGAGAAGCACACAAACCAAATAGTATGTGGACATAGGACTATCAAGAATGAGGAGAATGCCAGGTACAGAGGCACATGCCTATAATCCCAGTGGCTCAGGAGGCTGAGGCAAGAGTATTAAAGTTCAAAGCCAGCCTCAGCAACCTAGCCAGGCCCTACGCAATTTAGTGAGATTCTGTCTTGCAATAAAAAATAAAATGGGCTGAGGATGTGGCTCAGTGATTAAATTTCCCTGCTTTAAATCCCTGCTACCAAAAAAAAAAAAAAAAAAAAAAAAAAGAATGAGTAGATTGATACTATTTGGGCTGCAATGTGAAGATGGAGGGGGCTGTGGTAGCATCCTCACTAGCAATGCCCCTCTTCAGCCCCTCCTAGACTCTTTTCTTTTCTTTTTTTGGTACTGGGTATTGAACCCAGAGGTGCTTTACAACTGAATCACATTTCCAGCCCTTTGCAATTTTAAATTTTGAAACAGGGTGTTGCCAAGGTGCTGAGGCTGGTTTGGAACTTGCAATCCTCATGCCTTAGCTTCCTGAGTCTCTGGGATCCCTCTGAGAATCTTTATCCTGCATATGAGGTGAAAGGTTCTTTCCAGGGATAAAGAAGGATGGATGGTGGTGATAAGCAGCAAGACCTTGGTGCCTGGGCTCTGGTGCCTTCAGTCCTATATTGCTGTCATAGCAGTGATAACACTTGGAATGCTGTAATCCCAGCTACTGGAGGATTGCAAACTCAAGCCAGCCTGGATAATTCAGCCACACCTTATCTCAAAATAAACAGGGCTGGAGATGTAGTTCCATGATAGAGCACCCCTGGGTTCAAAGCTCAGTGCTAGAGCGGGGAGGAAGTTTCTTCAACATCCTAGTGGGAAAGCCAAAAGACAATTGGGGGCTGAGGATGTAGCTCAGGGGTAGAGTACTTGCATAGCATGTGTGAGGCTCTGAATTCAATCCCCAGTAAGGGGGGTGGGGGGAGGGTGGAGGTGGTGATAGGAGGGCAATTGGTGTAAGAATGTAGGCAACAGAATCAGAGACCCACCTCTAGAGTCTCTTCAATACTTAGAAGGGCAGAGAAAGAGGTATGTTCTGAAACAGATTCCCTCTGAAATTAAGGACATTTTCTCAATCTGAGAATTAAAACTTGAAACTGTTTTTTAACTTCTAAATTTTTTCAGGCTGAGAATAGAAGCTACCTCCCCCGTTCCCCGCGAGGCTGGGCACAACTGGTATGTTCTCTAATGCTGCCTAGCTAAAGGGACACGTGCATTTCCTGCATTTTGTCCCACTCTGCCCTCTCTTACCAAACTTTCCTTACCACCCTTGAGTTTTCTGAAGATGATTTGAAACAAAAAAGTTTCATCTGTTTTTTTTCAAAGCTGACTTTGAATAAAACCTGTTTTTCTGAGTATTAGTGGAGCACAAGGAGTGGCAGAGACTAGCCTCCGGCCTTTGTGCATAAGGGTTCTAGCAGGGAGGTTGAGAAGGAGTAGCCAGAGAGAAAGGAGGGAAGTGGAGTGTGGTTTCAGGAAGGTTTATACAAGAAAGTGTTTTTTTTAAAAAAAGGCTGGTTGAATGTTACTAAGATTAATAGAATTTGGGCAAAGAACTAATCATTAGTAGTAGCAAGATGAAGATGGTTTGCAACTTTGCTAGGAGATGATTTGTAAGAGAAGCAGGTGAAAGTCTGATTGAATTAGAAGACCAGAGTCGTCTTCATGTTGTATACGGGCTAAGTTGCTAAGTTGAACATGCAGTAGCCACTGTTGACCCTATTCACATTTTTTTCCCAGTTACCTTCAAATAAGAAAGTAAGCATGTTATTGACCACACACTCATATTTATGAAGAGAGGGATGCCACATATTGGTGTTAAAACGCACCCTTCATCGTATGTTTAGTTGGTTGGTTGGTATACTACCGATATTGAATCCTGTATAGTTCCTCTTTCACAATGAATTCTGTTGATGTTACACAATGCCAAACAAGTCACCTGATAATGTAATTTTACCAGCAACTTGTTTTGCTTTCTGAACATCTTTCTGATAATTACACCACTATATTCTTACAAATCTTTTGACAACAGAGAAGAGCTACCTGTTTTTATAAATAAGGTATGTGACTCTGGGCCTCTATCTAATATTAATTTTATGCTAGAATGTTTTGTTCTAGTAATGAAAATCATAATCAGTTTACCAGAGGTCATAGATTTTTATTAGAAATCAAAATGAAAGAAATCTGGGGTGGGAGGTTGGGGGAGGGTATAATCCCAGTAACTTGGGGAGGCTGAGGCAGGAGGATCCCAGCACAAGACCAGAAGACCAGCCTGGGCAACTTAGTGAGACCCTGTCTAAAAAATAAATAAATAAAATAAAATGAAAGTCTTACTAACTTTATGCCCAAACTTGACAAGTTTCTTATAAGATAATACAATGTGAAAAAAAAAAAAAAATCATGGGCTTGCTAATTTTTATCTATCTACTTTCACACTTTTTATATTATTTTTCTTCTTTACTGGTTTGTACAAAACTATCATTTGCCTATTTACTTATATAAAAACAGAGGTCCCCATATGTGGAGGCTAGAAAGGGGATCTCATGAAATTAGAAAGAAAACCACTAGAATAGAGGAAGGGGATCAGGGAGAGGAAAAGAGGGGAGAGAAAGGGGAAATACGGGTGAATGAAATCAACCAAGTTATATTATATGCGTGTATGGATAGGTAACAATGAAGTCTACTATTATGTATAATTATAATGCACCATCATAAAATAAAACTGGAGGTCTTGTTCACTTTTTATATTTATGACATTCTGAACCTGAATAATCACATTACTATTTTCATATTTTCAAAAAAAATTTTTTATTTGTAGATGGACACAATACCTTTATTTTATTTATTTATTTTTATGTGCTGCTAAGGACCAAGCCGAGTGGCTCATACATGCAAGGCAAGCGCTCTACTACTGAGCCACAACCCCAGCCCCACTATTTTCATATTTATGTTTTGCTTTAGTGAAACATTTTAAAAGTCTTTCTTAGCATTTTTTTAAAAACACTGAAGATAGAAAGCTGTACGACGATAACCACATGAAAGCATGAGTAGGCATTTCGAATGTAGTTCAAACCAAGATGAGTTGCACCTGGCAACTGAAAGTTAGTGGAGACACATTACAAGTACCGTTTTTCTTTTTGTTCTTTCTTTCTCTGCCCCTTTCTCTCTTTCTTTCTTTTTTTGCAGTATGGAGGACTGAAATTAGGGCCTCACAAATGTAGGCAACTGCTCTACCACTGAGTTACATTCCAGGCAGTTTTCTAAGCACATGAGATGTCTTCAAAAATGAGATTTTTCACTAAGAACATAGCAGGATTTAATAGTGGAAAATGGAAACGTAGAGGTATCACTTTTCATTTTTGAGTTGAAATCCCCAAAAGTAACAAGCTAGATGAGAAAAAGAAACTATGATTCAAATTCCTAAATTAAAGAATAAATGGGGGGCGCTGGTGTTGTGGCTCAGCGGAAGAGCACTTGCCTAGCACATGTGAGGCCCTGGGTTTGATCCTCAGCACCATATACAAATAAATAAATAAAATAAAGATTAAAAAAAAAGAAGAAGAAATGGAAGCTAGATGTGGTGGTGCATGCCTGTCATCCTAGAAACTTGGGGGACTGAGGTAGGAGGATGACAGGTCGGAGGCTGGCAATTTAGCAAGACACTGTCTCAACATAAAAAACACAGAGGACTGGAGGCGTAGCTCAGTGGTAAAGTACCCTGGGTTCAAGTCTCAGTATTAAAAAAAAAAATCAGTGGAAGGATGAAAATGAGGGGATTTTAAGTGTGCCAATTTTATTTTATTATTATTATTTTTAATATTTATTTTTCAATTCTCTGCGGACACAACATCTTTGTTTGTATGTGGTGCTGAGGATCGAACCCGGGCCGCACGCATGCCAGGCGAGCGCACTACCACTTGATCCACATCCCTAGCCCACGTGTGCCAATTTTAGAAAGATTTTATTATATTTAGGATTTGGGTCAAGGTTAGTGTTATGCTGCATTTTTTTGTTTTTGATTTTGTTACTGGGGATTGAAACAAGGGGCACTCTACCACTGAACTACATTCCTAGTCCCTTTTTACTTTTTATTTTGAGACAAGATCTTGCTAAGTTGCTGAGGCAGGCCTTGATTGAACTGTGATCCTCCTGCCTCAGCCTCCCAAGTAGCTGGGATTCCAGGCATGTGCTACTACACCCAGAAAAATATACTTGAAGGTTAAAAACTTAAATTTTAGGGGCTGAGGATGTAGCTCAGTTGGTCGAGTGCTTGCCTTGGATGCATAAGGCCCTGGGTTCAATCCCTAGCACCACAAAACAAACAACAACAACAAAAATGAAAAAACTTAAATTTTGCCATAGAGCCTAAATCTTTTGTTTTCAGTTTCTAAATTTCAAAGACAAGAATGAGATTCTCAGTCTAGTTTTGGGACTTTCCCTGAACCATATGGTTTAAGAAGCAAAGAAAGTACAGTAACATATGTTATGGTGCAGACAAGTTGTATCACAGAAGTTTGCATCTGTGGCGGTAGGAAAGAAGAGAGATATCACATTGGGAACATCCCTGTATCAGTCCATCTTCACTAGCGGGGAAAAAGTGAAGTCCAAACAAAACTCACTCACAAAATGCTAGGTCATAAGAAAAATTCCCACTGGCTTGTAAAGCAGTAGAGAGCCAGCATGGCAAGAAGCTTTCTGGAGCGACAGAAAGCCAGGAAGAGAGTGTTGGCCTGAGGAAGTAGTCCTACAGTACCACAATTGTAGAAATCAAACCTCAGAGTGGCACTTGGACAAACTGAGCCTAGACTCTCGGAGCCAAAGCTTTATGGAGAGCTGGAATATTCCTGGTAATGACAGGAATCAAAACAAATCTTGTTTGGAGGAGAGCTCTCTAAATTTGGTCCAGAGGATTCCATAGATTATGATCAAACAACTCACAAACAATATTACCAAACACATAAAAAGGAAATCACCATGAGTGAAAGTAAGTAGAACAAGAACAACAGGTTTAGACTCCTCAAAGTTTTCAAATATAGACATACATTGCTATAAGGATGTTTTGATCAAGGATGGACCACATGTAGAATAGCAGTCCCACAATGGAAGTGAAATTTTTTGTTGTACCTAATAATACACATCTCACTATATATTCTCTATCATTAAGAAATGCATGCATGTATTGAATTAAAACCATCCACATACAACATAAAGCAGATATTTATGAGGTTTAAAGATATAAAGCATATAATTTTTATTTATTTTATTTTATTTTATTTTTGGTACCAGGATTGAACCCAGGGCTCCTTAACTACAGGGCCACATCCCTAGGGTCTTCCTAAGTTGCTTAGGGCCTCCCTGAGTTGCTGAGGATGGCTTTGAATTTATGAACCTTCTGTCTCAGCCTCCTGAGCCAGTGGGATTACAGGCATGAGTCTCTGTGCCTAGCTAAAGAATGCAATTTGAAAAGTGAGCATTCAACTAGAAACACTCAGGTATGAGCAAAAACATTTTGGAAACAATCCAAAAGGAACTAGAAATAAAAATATGTAATTGGGGAGTGGGGAAGAACTCAGTAGAAGGATTAACTAGTAAATTAGATAACTCATGTGAGAATTTGTTAACAAGATAGTATAGATGAAGAACAGGTCCAGAATGCAGTGAAGAGAAATGAGGAGATGGAAAGTATGAATTAAAAAATAAGGTTAAATGACATGGAAGACTATAGTGGACTTAAACAACATAACTAATAAGATTGAGTTAACTGATATATGTCAAATTCTGTGATTCTGAAAAAACAATTCAAGAGAGAAAATAGTAAAGGCAATTTTCTCTAATAGCAATGCAAATGTTTTGGATGTGGACAGAAATACGAGACACCAGGGCTATTAGCAGAAAGTAGCATTAGTACCAGCACTCGCCCAGTGGATTCTTATTGTTGTTGTTGTTTTTAAGAGAGAGAGAATTTTTAAATATTTATTTATTTATTTTAGTTTTCAGCGGACACAACATCTTTTTTTGTATGTGGTGCTGAGGATCGAACCCAGGCCGCACGCATGCCAGGCGAGCGCGCTACCGATTGAGCCACATCCCCACCCCCGCCCAGTGGATTCTTACACAAAGGCTGAGCCTTTAGTGCAGGGGGTTGTAAACATATATACTTTTATAGTTTGCTTTTACATACTAATTCTTTGTCTTTTATATAAGGTAATACATGTTGCTGGTTGGTCATTCTATTTCTAGAGTAGCAACAATGTTACAACTGAGTTGTGGAAGGCGGGCTTTGATACTGAGGGCACCATGTTATCTTTTTCTGTGTTCTGAGAAAACCTCTACCACAATAACAAAACAAAGAAACAGAAACTACTACCCACTTATAAATGAAAATAAAATATCTCAGGTTAAATAGCTTTGGGATCTAAAAGAAAAATCCAATTGGAATTGCAGACTATTGAGAAAACAATGGCAATGAAAGCATTGCATACCAGAACCTATGTGATACTGCTAAAGCAGTGTTCAGAGGAATCATTTAAAATACTTTTATTACAAATTCTGAACAATAGAAGGAATTTTCTGAAATTCCCTTCAACATTTACTTTAAAGAATATTATGTCAAATTACAAATACACAATAACAAAAGTTATGTTAAGAAACAAGGCAAGGGGCTGAGGTTGTGGCTCAGTGGTAGAGCACTCACCTAGCATGTATGAGGCACTGGGTTCCACCCTCAGCACCACATAAAAATAAATAAATAAATAAATAAATAAATAAAATAAAGGTATTGTGTCCAACTACAACTAAAAGAAGAAAGAAAGAAAAAAGGCAAAAAAAAAAAAAAAAAAAGCTTTCATAGTATGTCACAGTAGCAAGACTGTCACTGGGTTGGATTCAAGAAGGTCCCCAGAAGGGAAAAGGGGACCTCAACTCAACCTCAGCAGGTTCTTGACTTCCTCCACAGAAAGTAATTTCAGGACACGGCAAGAGCACAAGCACAGATTTATTCAGGAAAGCAAACAATAGCACACACAATGCCACTAAAGGGAAAGGGAGTGTGTTCTTCCTG